AAAACAAAAAACAAAAAACAAAAAACAAAACAAAAAACACATCACTCACAGCCAGGGCCGGCTCTACATTTTCAGGGGCCCCAGGCAAAACTTTACTTGGGAGGCCCCCCTACCAAGAAAACAGATGATCGTTTCACTTCCCCCGCAACGTGGGTAACACAGGGGCCCTTGGCTATAGTCTTCCCTGCACAGAATTATTGTTCTGGCATGAACAAACAATTAAGAGTTAGCTTAGTAAGAAACATATCTATCCACACTTTCTCTAACTGCTTACCCTATACACAGTTGTGATAAGTCTCTGTGTGCTGGTGGGGAAAATAAATAACCACACAAATAAATAGCAGTTAAATAAACGGATTTAAAATATCAGTAGCCTGTATAAAATTAGCAATGAAATGCTTCCAATGGTCATAGCCGACAGTAGAGCTCATCAAAAACATGGATGTTCTGAAGGGATAAAAAATCTATTAACTGGCAACACACAGCCAAAGAAATACAGAGATGAAAAAAATTCTAACTATTTTATACAGTACATATTACCAATATTACTAAAAACATTCAATGGGAAGAACAGCATGACATAAACACCTGTAGAACCACAGGTGCATTATGGGAATATTTAATCTCCCAAACTCACACCAATCTTCAAAATTCAGCCTTTAAAGTATTATTGAAACATGCAAAACTGTATTTTAAATCATTCACAAAAAATGAAAAACACCCTGATATATTATGTATCATTTCAATATTCCTCATTTTATTTCCCCATCTCATTTATAGCTGAAGTCTGAAGGCTTTTTGCATATATAGGGCATTTATTACATTTGCATTAATATTTATCTGAAATAGACTCAGAAATCTCTAAGTGAAAATTCATTGCCATGGACTTCAAATAGAAATGACAAATCTTGTCAACAGGCTTCAATATATAAAAAAAAACAACTGAACAAATCAAATACAAATTGTCAAAGTCCCAGGACTAATTTTTTTCTCAACAGGTGGCAGTACTGGTTTGGTTTTTTTATAACGAGATGTGTGTTGTCTAGACTTTACTGCCAATTCTGTGATATTTGAGGAAGCAACTGCTCGTTTTCTGTAAGCACAAGGTGTTTTGTGAAAGCCTGAAGTGTTGCAATCATGTTCTGAAGACACATGTCAAATCTGTGGCCCATCATCAAGTTTGAACTGGATGATGATGCTGGTGACCTTTAACAACTGAAATGAATAGGCTAGTGTGCTTCTGAATGGGACCAGATGTTCACAATAAACTGATCCGGTATCAAATCAGCTGTTGGATGTTACATTCTATCAATCACATGGTCACATCAGCATTTTCCGGCCATTCAATATGACTGTGCCATCAGAAATGCGGATACACTGAGAGACCAAGGTGCTCAACACAGCCCAGCCCTCAGACCCCACGTGGCCTCGATTTACTCCACATCCGTTAGGCCACACCAAGACACACAGGCAAGCTTGAGGACAATGTGCGGGAAAACCGCCTTGTTTTCACACTTCGCAATCGACGGCTACCACTTCCGTTTCTGTTTTTACTTCTGTTATCGCACCATGCCTGAAGCTAACAGAGGCCAAGTCCACATTCCTTGAGTTCGCACACCACAACCAGGGGCGTTGCTAAAAATTTGGGCCCCATGAAAGCATATCATATTGGGCCCCCCAGTCCGGACCAATACAGTAAATTTCCAATTTTTTTAGGGCCCCTGTCACTCCGGGGCCTTTGGAATCGTCCTAACTCCCCCCCCCCCCCCCCTTACGGCACCCCTGACCACAACCATGGTTTAGGAGTGATTTCCAAGAGAGCACTCTTCGTCAGTTTTAAGAACATGCGGCCATCATTGAGCAGGGCTATCCGAAATATCAGTGAAGTTCTCTCAACCTTGAGGTGGCATGAAGACGACTGGTTGCAAGGAGACGAGATTTGTGGTACTACCATAGCCATCACAGTGTAGCAAGAACGTTACATACTGCCCAGTTGTCATAGAAACAAACACCCTGTTACATCATGACCACTCAGCCATACCGTTACATACTGTCCAGTTGTCATAGAAACGAACACCTTGCTACATCATAGCCAATCAGCCACACCGTTACATGCTCACAAGTCAAGATGCCCCCCCTCCATAAAAACTACATACAAAATTTAAAATACCGAAGTCTCACCACATCATGCAATCTTTAATTAGGAACAACTGCTCGTGCTGGTATAAACTGGTCTATAACATGACTTTTATACTCATCAAATAAATGTTTATGTCCGAAAACAAAATTACTTCACACTGCCTTTCTGATGTGTTCCAATAAAACAAGGAAGAAATACAGCCACGTAACCTTAACCACCTACTGTGACCGTACCAAGCGTAATTAACTGCGGTTACCAACTTGCATTCAGAATAGAGCTAATAACCAACTTAATAACTTCATTCGTTGGTAATAAATAAATGCAACCTTTTCCCAATTATTTAGTATTAACCAGGCATTTGAACCTCCATGTAATTTTCTTTCACAAAGACCGCGCTCACTACAGGAAGAAAATCATCCAATAAATGAAGTTAAATCACGTTTTGCGTATAAAAAACTAATGATTAACCGGATAGCTTTGCTAATGTGTGGTGGAAGTGATCGCTCTGCAAGTCAAATAGCGGTGTCGAGACCGCCGTTCAGACACACATTCGCCGACTCCAACATATAGCGTTTCCAATATAACTATCATTGTAATAAACGGATTTATTTCGTATTAATTTCAACACTTGTTATTCTTAGCGATTACAAAATTACTACAATTCCACTAAAATGGGCTTTAATTTTACTGAGTTCCTCTTTGATGCATCACCCAAAAGCTGCAAGAAACAATCTTAGTAAAAGTCTGCTGTGATGACAGGGCTCGGTTTCTCACGCTTGATGGAGGATTTTTCTCAGCCCCAAGAGCTGGAAATAACTTAACGTGCCAAAGTATGTTTACAGGCTGAAAAGCTGGGCTAAAAGTCTGAAGCCACATCCTTAAATTAAAGTAGACTACGTCTACGTATTGAGCGCGAATAAATCAAACGCAATTGCGAGATTAATATTGACAGAATATCGATAGCCTATATAGCAACAAGTTGATTTGATGCAGTGCAAGTCCCGCGCATTTACAGTACACTTCTTTACTCGGCGATCATTTGTTTATTTACTTGCATTTATTTGCGCAGTGATCATCATTCAAGGTACTCACACGAAGGCATGGTACACGAAAGCCCAGCCGCGGGGTCTCTCCAGCACGTTGTACAGGTAGTTCTGCAGCCTCCGGTAGCGCACGTTTCTGCGGCCACCCTGCGCGCTGTAGATGAGCGGCTTCCCCAGCAGGCTCAGGCGGGCCCCCTGCTTTCCGCTCTGGTTCTCCGCACCTGTCGTCGAAGCAAGTCCGGCCGACACCGGGCCATCCCTCGCCCTGTTCATCCTTCGGCCGGACTCCACATCTTTCAAGGCATAGCCTCCAGCAGCGCGATGCCCCGGCGAATTCTTCATCCAGAGGCCAGAGCCGCCTTCATCTCCGCTGTGGTTGCGGGGCATGGCATCACCACCTGGGACCGGGAGTGGGCTGCGGGATCCCCGGTCATGCACATATAATTATGATTGAACAGGATATGATCATGTAGATAATTCAAAAATATTATTAATCAGTTATAGCCTCCAGCCGCGAGATAAAACAAAGTCATACAGGTTGTAGAAAAATAAAGCACCGTTCGCTTCTAATTAAGCACAGAGATCACTCTGATTTGACTCAGTTCAAGGAATGGCTCCGACGGTTGCAGGAAGCCATAGATAAATGTTGATTATGTTGTGGCCATCTGAGACACAGGGTTTTAGATGGAGGTTTGGGGCAGTGTCACTATCTTCGGGGTAGATATTTGGTAAGGGGAGGGTGTGCCAAGTCCTGTGAGGTTCTTGTCCACACAGCTTACTTAATTCCTTCACCCCCGGTACGCCTTACTGAAGAATTGCTACATCAACTTGAATACTTGAGCTAAGTGCAAGCTGTTGCTTTCAATTCAAACGACCCCATTGCTGATTTTAAGAATCTTTCTCTTACACCTTTTATTAATGGCTCGGGAAAAAATGAATAGATAAAAACATAGGATGGATCTTAAAAATCTTAAAATGTGCGAGTGCAGTAATATGCAAACGCTGTCACACTGGTCTTCTGCAGATGTTCGCGCGCTCCATTTCCTTGTTTTGTAAATTGTTCAGCGGAATTTAAGAACCGTCATTGGCAAAGGCACCGATGTTGCTCTAAAACCTCCACAGCATCACACCAGTTGTGTGTTCGTGCTATTTCATTATATTAGTCATAAATGTGAATTACAATACGCCAGTTTGTCTTTACTTGGTCATCGCGATCGTCGACCACGAGCTTCGTACAAAATACCATACACGCCTTTCAATGTGGGGCAAAATATTGTAAGAAAAATTAAGTTTCCATTCTGGAGTTGACCGAATATTCGTGACGTATAACAATGAAACAAATGTCTGTCCGCCACAAATATTTTTCTACGATCACGCTGTACTTACATCCAGAAGAAGCACCAATCTTAGGCAGACTTAAATGGAAATATGAATCATCCATGCGCATTAAACTCTCAGAGACGCATCCATTTTCGAAGAAGCCAGTGCTTTTTCAGTTTTCTGATTTCTCCCTGTTCGGCTGAAATCGCCTTCCTTCTTTCAGTTAAATAATGTTTTTAGTGCTTTCACTTAAAGTCTTTCTTATAGTTCCCCCATTCCGACAGCGAGCTTCTGTCACTGCACCACGTGATAGGCACTGAAATAAAATACAGTGGCAGCCAGTCAGTGTGGCTGGTGTCCGCACACTTGAGAAACTGGTTAAAAAAAAAACCCAATGCACGCCAGCAGAAACGCTAAAGAAGAATGAGATGAGATTACGGAAAAGGGTGTCTGCGCGCAGATCTGCCGCTTCTGGTGGCCGCGCACAACTTCAGAACTGAAATGTTTCAAAAGGCAGCTGACGCTGCGCAGCCCGGCTCCTCTGATCTCAGTTTTACGAGCAAGTTTGAGGCGCTTTCTTCCTACAGCGATATCTGAAATGATTTTCTCAGTTCTGCAGTTTGCTTCTGATATGAGGCGGCTTGCTGTTTTGCGGGCGACTCTGTTGCACATTTTATGAAGTCACATGTTCATATATAGGAAACCGGCCCTCAACAAATGAACCTTTACGCGACATAAATGCTTACGTCTAAGAGATCTGAAAATATAGTCGTGCGTCCGTAGCTACGTCTATTTCCATGTCACACTTTTTTTTTTCTGCTCGACGTGTTAACGGTGGTCTGTATAATGTAAATTGACGGTGTAAAGAATGTGCGCTGGTTTCAACGTGTTGGTGCCCCGCGTTCGGTAACGTACAACAAGGTTTCCTTTCTGAAAAATCCCGTCAATGATCAGGCATGAAAAACCCATGCTACCGTATTTTAAATGGTGATGCTGCCTTATGATCGTCATCTGTTTAATCACTAGTCTATGCCAACACGGAATGAGCGAAAAGGTAGGCTACCTACTTGTTAATCGCTAACTCACGCATAAGCATGTGGCGACAACCAGAGAAAATATAAGGCCTTTATATCATGTACGTATTTTAACATTAAACATGCATATTGAACTAAAATCGTTTTATACTGTAAAATCCATATATTTTTTAAATAGTTTAGGCTACATTGCATACTTTGATATTACCGGCTATTGCAATGCATTCTCCACTAGCAAACCAGTTCACAAGTACAGATTAATACAGGCTACAAACTAACGATTATTATTAATACACTAAATAAATAGTTTAACATAGGCCTAATTCATTAGTGTTCGGCTGGTAGGCCTATGTTATCCCGAACATGTTATTCCTAAAAACAAATTGTTTAATTACATTTATGCTTACCTAAAACTAGAAATGCCGTTATTTAAAATTTAACGCAGAATAAAGTAGTCTATTCATATTTCTGTTGAGATTGCTGACACTGCATTTAAGTATTTAGACTTATATGATTCTAAAACCACATAAAACCATTAAAGCGTTATTTTGACGATCGACTGTTTTCATGTCCCTTTGGATAAGCTGCCTCTTATTAAACCAAATCACACTATAAACTTTTACAGTGAACTGTATTTTCAGCGTTGACATCTGACAGACACATTTGTACAGACAGTAAGACGGCCTATAACATATAAGTAATCAGAACCGAATTAAATTAATGCTACCCTTTCGGCTCCCTGGTTTCTTCACAACTTGGTCTCACACGCGGGCAACCCGCCTGGGAATGGAACCAAAAATGACGGCTGTAAATGGCAGCTTACGGTGTTCTGAAGAGTACTGTTTAAAGGTTTTTTTTTTTTTCAAATGGATAAATATGGCTTTCCAGATTTCGCAGGTCAGACAGATTGTACTCAGCTTAGAATAGCTCAAAATATTATGAAACAAATCTCTTTATTACCACGAAAGGCATAAAAACTTGTAGCAAGTGAAACAATGGTTGGAATCAGCAAGTGTTGTAAAAAGATTTGCTTTCTCCCAGCATAAAAACATTAGCCTTTTTAAATACCTGATGATAATATATCATTATCAATACCATATTATGCTATCTTAATAATTACTTAACTTGGGAACCGCGTAAGAACTGTTTCTCCACGTGAACAAACTGCTCTGCAGCCTGTAAAAGAACAGCCAGTCTGACTGGTACTGTAATGGTTGAAGACTTGTACCTGCTACGCTTGGATGGTGTAATCCCATTGAGGATTATTTAGCAGGGATAACCTGTTGTATAACCAGATTAAATCTACAAATAATCTAAATCAGTGGTTCTCAATTTTTGTTTTCAAACCACACACTATATGCGACCCAGTGGAAGTGGTCTGACAACCCACTTTTGGGTGATAGTGACACACCGAACTACACTGTCAGAAAGAAGAGCTCTGGTACATTTCCAAGGTACAGAAAAACTGTCCCTCGGAGTCCCTTTCCCTACCTTAAAAGGTACATTTACCAACAGCTTGGGTACAACTGGCAGACCCCTAAGGGCACAGCCCCAGTGACAAGTAATTGTAAAGTATAACAAAGTAACTAGGTGTCGTTGAAGAACAGAATCTTTCGACAGTCCGGTGCATTTCAGGCGTCATTTTGTGTTTCTTTTTTCCAGTTTTTTTTTTAGCAGTCTAATATGATAGAAACAAAAAAAATACAGGATTTGGGAAACATATCACTCACTGTCAGACCATCAGTGCACACGATCTTGGTCAAGGAAATGTTGTACCTGCAGGGAGCTCCCAGCATCTCATTAATAAATATCCAGGTTTTCAAATCAATCAAGTTTGTTTTAAGAAGATTAGAAGCTCAGTTTCAGGCAGGGCTGGACTGGGACCAAAAAATGGCCCCGGCATTTTTTGGTCATGGCGGCCCACTATGATTATTTATACGATATGNTCACTCCGGGGCCTTTGGAATCGTCCTAACTCCCCCCCCACCCCTTACGGCACCCCTGACCACAACCATGGTTTAGGAGTGATTTCCAAGAGAGCACTCTTCGTCAGTTTTAAGAACATGCGGCCATCATTGAGCAGGGCTATCCGAAATATCAGTGAAGTTCTCTCAACCTTGAGGTGGCATGAAGACGACTGGTTGCAAGGAGACGAGATTTGTGGTACTACCATAGCCATCACAGTGTAGCAAGAACGTTACATACTGCCCAGTTGTCATAGAAACAAACACCCTGTTACATCATGACCACTCAGCCATACCGTTACATACTGTCCAGTTGTCATAGAAACGAACACCTTGCTACATCATAGCCAATCAGCCACACCGTTACATGCTCACAAGTCAAGATGCCCCCCCTCCATAAAAACTACATACAAAATTTAAAATACCGAAGTCTCACCACATCATGCAATCTTTAATTAGGAACAACTGCTCGTGCTGGTATAAACTGGTCTATAACATGACTTTTATACTCATCAAATAAATGTTTATGTCCGAAAACAAAATTACTTCACACTGCCTTTCTGATGTGTTCCAATAAAACAAGGAAGAAATACAGCCACGTAACCTTAACCACCTACTGTGACCGTACCAAGCGTAATTAACTGCGGTTACCAACTTGCATTCAGAATAGAGCTAATAACCAACTTAATAACTTCATTCGTTGGTAATAAATAAATGCAACCTTTTCCCAATTATTTAGTATTAACCAGGCATTTGAACCTCCATGTAATTTTCTTTCACAAAGACCGCGCTCACTACAGGAAGAAAATCATCCAATAAATGAAGTTAAATCACGTTTTGCGTATAAAAAACTAATGATTAACCGGATAGCTTTGCTAATGTGTGGTGGAAGTGATCGCTCTGCAAGTCAAATAGCGGTGTCGAGACCGCCGTTCAGACACACATTCGCCGACTCCAACATATAGCGTTTCCAATATAACTATCATTGTAATAAACGGATTTATTTCGTATTAATTTCAACACTTGTTATTCTTAGCGATTACAAAATTACTACAATTCCACTAAAATGGGCTTTAATTTTACTGAGTTCCTCTTTGATGCATCACCCAAAAGCTGCAAGAAACAATCTTAGTAAAAGTCTGCTGTGATGACAGGGCTCGGTTTCTCACGCTTGATGGAGGATTTTTCTCAGCCCCAAGAGCTGGAAATAACTTAACGTGCCAAAGTATGTTTACAGGCTGAAAAGCTGGGCTAAAAGTCTGAAGCCACATCCTTAAATTAAAGTAGACTACGTCTACGTATTGAGCGCGAATAAATCAAACGCAATTGCGAGATTAATATTGACAGAATATCGATAGCCTATATAGCAACAAGTTGATTTGATGCAGTGCAAGTCCCGCGCATTTACAGTACACTTCTTTACTCGGCGATCATTTGTTTATTTACTTGCATTTATTTGCGCAGTGATCATCATTCAAGGTACTCACACGAAGGCATGGTACACGAAAGCCCAGCCGCGGGGTCTCTCCAGCACGTTGTACAGGTAGTTCTGCAGCCTCCGGTAGCGCACGTTTCTGCGGCCACCCTGCGCGCTGTAGATGAGCGGCTTCCCCAGCAGGCTCAGGCGGGCCCCCTGCTTTCCGCTCTGGTTCTCCGCACCTGTCGTCGAAGCAAGTCCGGCCGACACCGGGCCATCCCTCGCCCTGTTCATCCTTCGGCCGGACTCCACATCTTTCAAGGCATAGCCTCCAGCAGCGCGATGCCCCGGCGAATTCTTCATCCAGAGGCCAGAGCCGCCTTCATCTCCGCTGTGGTTGCGGGGCATGGCATCACCACCTGGGACCGGGAGTGGGCTGCGGGATCCCCGGTCATGCACATATAATTATGATTGAACAGGATATGATCATGTAGATAATTCAAAAATATTATTAATCAGTTATAGCCTCCAGCCGCGAGATAAAACAAAGTCATACAGGTTGTAGAAAAATAAAGCACCGTTCGCTTCTAATTAAGCACAGAGATCACTCTGATTTGACTCAGTTCAAGGAATGGCTCCGACGGTTGCAGGAAGCCATAGATAAATGTTGATTATGTTGTGGCCATCTGAGACACAGGGTTTTAGATGGAGGTTTGGGGCAGTGTCACTATCTTCGGGGTAGATATTTGGTAAGGGGAGGGTGTGCCAAGTCCTGTGAGGTTCTTGTCCACACAGCTTACTTAATTCCTTCACCCCCGGTACGCCTTACTGAAGAATTGCTACATCAACTTGAATACTTGAGCTAAGTGCAAGCTGTTGCTTTCAATTCAAACGACCCCATTGCTGATTTTAAGAATCTTTCTCTTACACCTTTTATTAATGGCTCGGGAAAAAATGAATAGATAAAAACATAGGATGGATCTTAAAAATCTTAAAATGTGCGAGTGCAGTAATATGCAAACGCTGTCACACTGGTCTTCTGCAGATGTTCGCGCGCTCCATTTCCTTGTTTTGTAAATTGTTCAGCGGAATTTAAGAACCGTCATTGGCAAAGGCACCGATGTTGCTCTAAAACCTCCACAGCATCACACCAGTTGTGTGTTCGTGCTATTTCATTATATTAGTCATAAATGTGAATTACAATACGCCAGTTTGTCTTTACTTGGTCATCGCGATCGTCGACCACGAGCTTCGTACAAAATACCATACACGCCTTTCAATGTGGGGCAAAATATTGTAAGAAAAATTAAGTTTCCATTCTGGAGTTGACCGAATATTCGTGACGTATAACAATGAAACAAATGTCTGTCCGCCACAAATATTTTTCTACGATCACGCTGTACTTA